GCAGCCCGAAGGACCGCACGCCCCCGGCCCGCGGCCTTCCGCGTGCGCCCCGGCGGCCGCGGGGTCCCCGCGGGGAGGCGACCGCCCCCCTCGCCTGGGCCGCAGGAGTCGACGCCGGGGGCCAACGCTCTGCGGGCCCCTCCAGCTGGGCCCTCGTCTGGGGACGCGACCCTCGGGCCTGGCCGGGGCGGCCGCGGGCCACGCGCTGGGGCAGCTCGGTGGGCGTCCCACACGGGGGAACTGGGTGGGGCGGCCCAAAACTTTGGGCGTTCGCCTGTGTCGGGGGGAAGGGCGGTCATTGGCAGGGCATCCCAAGGGTATGTAGACTAACCGGCTTAACACCCCGAGGGCCCAAAATGGTATTGGTTTGGGTATGTTTTATGCCCAGGGGTGGAAAAAAGGTCTCAAAACTACTTTTTTAGAAAGACTTCAGGAAAACTTCCATTTAAAAAAGGCCCTTCCTCCCTCCGCAAGCCCCCTTGGGAATCCTGGGACTCCCTCCCCAGGCTTACTTGCAGAGCAGGCGCCCGGCTCAGGCAGGCTTTGCAGAGCCCTCCGCGCCGCCCAGCCTTTCCGCGCCCAGCAGCCACCCAGTGGGGACCTGCACCCGGTATCCAGGCGGGGCTTTCAGTGGGAGTAAACCCATCCCAGAAGCCCTGAGGCCTCTTGAGTCGACCACTCAGTCTGGGACCCACTTTCCTCATCTGTAACCCAAGAGTCTTACTCTGGAAAACCACAATCAATGAACATAAAGTAAAATGTGTTGTATGCAGTTTAAGCTTTATTTTCTATCCTTTCTGCATTTCCCATTCAGTTTAGTCTTTGTCCAAAAGCCCACAAAGTCTTCCTATTAGAAATTACTCTGCAGTGTTTCTTTGTGTGTCTTTTCTTTCTTTCCTTTTTTTTTTTGGGGGGGGGGGGGAGTTGTTTTCTTTTGGTGGGTAAAGGAGAAAATTATTTACCTATTTATTTGACTCAAGCAAAAGTAAGTGTGGTCTGTTAAATGTAGTACAGAAAATAGAGTATTATCTTCTTGATGTAAGGTGCACCCCTAGAATTTGGGGCAAGGTTAGGAAGTGTAACTTTAAGATAACAAGAAATCAAATCAATGTATGGCATTGCTCACGTGGAGATCCTTAGAGTAACCCAACCTAACAATTTGCAAATGTGTGCCAATTAAGAGCGTCCTTAGGATCTCATCAGGGTGGTCAGACGAACATATTAAGGATTATAGAATACTGCTAAGTTGTGATCTTATAAGGTAATAGTTAATGCCCAATGCAAATAGAGTCTAGAAAATAAATAGGAAAAAAGAACAAGCTCTGTTGGGGAAGACAGCTATAAATTTTGACAGCTGTTTTTTTTTAGAAAAGTTTCTGTAAGTCACTGATACTCAAACTTAAGTGTGTATCACACTCACCTGGAGTGCTTGTTAAACTAGGCTGCTGGGCACCAGCCTCAGAGTTTCTAGGTCTGAGGCTGCAGCAGGTTGGGCGGACCAGAATTTGCATTTCTAACCAGTTCCCAGATAATGCTGATCCTACTGGCCTAGTGGTCATGCTGTGAAAACCACAGCCTGCTTATCAGGCCTCCACAGCTGCCTCCCATCCCTATGCTCTGACTTTATATCGAAAAAGCCCCAAAACTTTACAACATAACGTGGTTTGCTGAATGAATAGGTATCAGGCCAGGGGGAGCTCTAACAAAAATTCAAATTACCTCCATCCCTAATTAATGGTCTGTTTCTTGTGAGTTTATTCTTTTTGGGGTCAGACCTCCTCCAGTGCCTGAATACCTGTGGGTGAAACAATGGATTTTCAAAGTGGAGGCACAGACCCTGGAGGAATAGGGGTACCTCCACCAAGGTGCATGTCACTCTGATACAGTCTGTCATCAGCCTCTGCTGCAGAAGGTGCGGTTGTCCGAGATTGAAAGACACTAGACCACCACCTAGGATCACTCAAAGTGGGGCCAACATAAGTGCAAGCATCCCCATGACAACATCCTCAGCCAAGAGATGGGGGCAGCTCAGCAGAACTCCTGTGGCCCCCTCACCCTGTGAGCCAGGCATGTGGTTTAGATGAGGAAGTGGATCTACACAAAATTATGAAGTGTTAAGGGGAATTATTAGTAGATGGAGACCAGATATACAGCCAAGTCCCCTTCCTCCATGAAGCCTCCCCTAGTTCAGACTAGGGGAGTCCTTATTCTGTGAACACCCATTATACCTTTCATTCAACGGAAGTGAGCACCTACGTGGGAAGCCCTAGTGCTCAGAGCTGTGGAGTCTGGTTACAATTAGGCATGGTCCCTGCCTTCAAAGGGCTTCACAACCTGTTGACTCTACCTTGGCAATCTTGTTCACCTTTCCTTCTCTTCCCACTGCATGTGCACCCAGTCAGGTCCTCACTGGCTCTTCATAGTCTCACTTAAAAACCTAAATTTCCCCCAACCCCAACCAAAAAAAAAAAAAGCATAATGTAATTTTTATGAGGTTAGTATTCCTAAATCACAGCAGAATCAGGACACCCTTTTGCTCAAAACTCGGTTCCCCATTAGTAACTCAGTAAAATCCAAACCCCTTAGCCTGACCCCAACCTATCTTTCCAGCATCATATACCCCACTTCTCACACCTCATCCTCCAAACTGAATGAATCGGTGTTGATTTGTATATGCCCCATAATGTCTCCTATTTTGGTGGTGTTGCTCCATTTAGAATGTCCTTCCTTCTTCCCACCCTTAAAGGTCCAGTTCAAAAGTCACCTCTCAAAAAGCCTTCCTCAACATCCCACAACTAAATGTACTTGTTCTCTGAATTCCTACAGACCTTTAGCCTAACTTAGGTCATGTAATTTTCTGTCTTGTATTATATTCCCTTAACAGCCTGCAAGCCCGAGGGCAATGTCTGTCTGATTTAGCCTGTACCCCCCATAGACTTTGCACATGGGGGTACCTCAGGTATTCAGAGTGAACAAACTCTCAGGCAGAAAGGAATCTTGTGCTAATTGAGAAAAGGGTTGTGCAATGCGCAGTACAGGAAGACAGATTTTGATAGCAGATAAACTCAACTAAAGCAAAGACCTTATGTTTTGAACAGTGATGTATCTTTATAAAAATGCCAAGATGACAGCTGTTCTACATATATTCAAATATAAGAAATGGAGGAGGGAAGCTTGCATAGAAGGGGGCTTGTAAACTGAGTGGTGAAAAATAAGTAGTGCTTGGTTCCCAGAGGGCATTCCTGGAAGAGGGAAAGCATGAGCTGAATGTGGAGGTGGGAAAGTATGGCTTGTTTACTAAATGACAGGAAGCCCAATGTGGCAGCAGGATAGATAAATCAGAAAGTGAACGGTGAGAAACTCGGAGCAGGTTGGGTTGTCAAAGTCTTGAGTCCTCTACTAAAATCAGTCCTGCATCAGTAGCCAGCTGAGTGCACCACAAGACTTTGAGGAAAGCCCATGTCCAGTTTGTGTTCCAGGACAGTAAGTCTGGTAGCAAAAAGGCTGTGATAGGAGTAGGTGACAGTACTGAATAGCTCAGGTGGGTGATGATCAGGACCTTAACTGTAGGACAGGAAGGTGAGAAGATAGGACAGATCAGCGTCACTAATATTTAGCATTTTGTTCTTATGTGTTGATTTAAATCTTTTCAACTGATCATCCCCCCTGTCCTTCAGACAAATTCCATTTCCTGTTTCCTTCTCAGCACCTAGCAGAGCAGGCCTTCTCTGGACAGGTGACACAGGCGAGGTTGATTTTTTTTCTTAGTACAGTGCCTCTCTATTCAAATCTCCAGATTCTGGGTCAGCGGGTCTCAGGTCTGCATTTCTACCAAGCTCCCAGGGAATACAATGCTGCTGGTGCAGAGACCACACTTTGGGTAACAAGGACTTAGAATTCAGCTTGGACACGAGGTACGTGGCAACAGCACAGTCAAGTGTGAGGGCTCTGAAGCAAGATGGTCTGGCTTCACGGCCACCTCTGTCTGCTTCCCTTCTCAGAAGCTTCTTCCCACATCTCGTGTAAAATGGGGGTAAGAATCATACCCTTACAGAGGGTCATGTGAGGATTAAGTTCAGTTTAAAAACAGTGCCTCATACATGAGTGTTCCATAAATAGCAGTCCAATTGCTTAATACAATTATTTCCCTGCCTCAAGGAAAACAGTTTTGTTGGAGAACCAGGACCCTACCTTGTACTGTTTTTCTCCCGTGCACTGTGGGGAGAAAAACAGCTGTCACATTAAAGTACTCAATGCAGAATTGGGAGGTAATAATCAAGGACGGATACAGGAGTATCTATATTGCAAAAACTTGTGGGCAAAAGAGACTGTAGAAGGAATTGAAGAGCGCAGCTCCAAGTTTTTGTACGTATAAGCTCAGCACCTGCCCTGACAACTTACCTGATGTTGTTTCTACACTAAGACAATTCCTTATCTTACAGCAACCTGAGTTTACTTTTATCTATTTGTTCCTTTTTATCCCCGTATCTCACTCACAGCAGAGGCATGGGCAACTGTAATGCCTTTTATGTTTAACTTTTGGTTTCTGTGTTCTTAACAAAATGTCTTGTGTAATTTTTAATTTGCATAAACAGTATTTTGTTACAGATGTTATTCAGTGTCTTCTATTTTCCACTCAGCATTGTATTTGAAGATTGACCCATGTGGACCCGCAAACAGCTAAGCCAATATTCCGAACTGCTACCTGGCATAGCCAGTGTACCCACCCTGTTTTACCTGTGCTCTCTACCTCCCACTTTCCAACAACCGACACCCAGACTGTCAGCAAGCCATGGGCCACTGCAAATGGGGCCCCCCTTGAGCATTCTCACACATGCCCTCTTCTTGTCTGCCCTAGGTTTATGGAAGAATGCAGGTTAGATTGTGCTGTCAGCCTCTGTCATGGCTCCAGGTCAGCCATCTCTTCCACCTTGGCCCCAGCAGGACATTCTTGACAAGTGGAGAAAAACATACACCATGAGATTTTTGTTTTTGTTTTTTTTGCTAGTAGCAACAAGTTTTATTCTAGGCAACTGCAAATCATCAAAGCGGTCACTTACATAGGACCCAGAAGCCCATTCCCATCTCCCCAAACAGTGAGGCAGGTATTCAACACCCCTGAGAAGCAAGCATCTTTGTGCTTTTTCTCCATTACCTCTGAAACAGTCAACCCAAAACTAAATTGGAAAATGTGTAATCCAAACAATCTCAAGAAACAAGTGGTACCATAGGAACAAACTCAAACAACCACTGGTACAAGATGAACAACCTTAAGTAACAAAGTAGCTTTCTACACGGGAGGCAGCAGAAGCCAGCCAGGACTGAGCTGGGAGGGGAGGACACCACCGCGAGGGGCCTCAACTCCCCAAGCAGCACTGGACTCTCAGCAACTCTACAGGCCCCTTCATCCTCGGCAGTGGCTTTGGGGGGCCCACGCCACATTCATTCAGTTATCCCCAATTAAGAATGCCAAGGACCCCCCAAGAGGGAGCCCAGTGCTCTGCCCTGATCTCTGGCCTAGCCAAGTGCAGGTGGGCAGAAAGAGCCCCATGAACAATTCCCTCCTGGAGGGCAGGCCCTGTCCCCGCATTTGGAACAACTTCTACAATACTGGAAAGCTTAAAAACAAGTGTCAGACTATATATATTTTTTAAATCAACTAAAATCTAATTCCAAAAAAAGGTTCTTCAGAGCAGGGTAAGCAATCCACTTAAATTACTTTTTCCACTTGTTATTAACAGAGACTAAAAAAAGGAGAGGGAATGGAGGGCCAGAGCTCTGCTTATGCCTCTGGCTCGACTCAACCCCACAGAACACCTGCAGTGCTGGGACAGGCCCTGGAACCAGTCACCAGGCCCTGGGAGACAGTCAACCCAGCCAACAACTATCAGCACATATGGGAAAACCGAGACCTGAAGGAGCCAAAGAGACTCCAACTCAGCAGCAGGGTGAAGACGGCAGGCAGAGGCCCGGCCCGGGCCAGGCAAGTCAAAGTGACTCCCCTTGGGAAGCAGTCAGTCCCTGACTCTGCACAGTGTCTCTCTGGGGGGACCAATGCCAGCCCCCTCCGCCCCCCGGCCGGGCGAGGGGCTGGCAGCCTTAAAGCAGACCACTGGGCCCTGCAGGTTCTGGGGCCGGCCCGCCCCGCTCGCGCTGGTGGATCTTCTGGTGCTGTAGGAGGTGCTGCTTCTGGACGAAGCTCTTCTCGCACTCGCTGCAGCTGTAGGGTCGCTCGCCCGTGTGGATGCGCTGGTGCCGCACCAGGTCAGATGGGTGGCTGAAGCTCTTGCCACAGTAACCACAGATGAGGGAACTCCGGCTCTTCCTCCAAGGGATGTGGCCGGGCAGCGCCACCAGGCTGTTTGGCGAGAACCTCTCCTGGACACGATGACCAGCACTGGGTCCCTCTTGCAAGTGGCAGCGCTGGTGGGTCACCAGGCTCACTCTGCAACCGAAGCTCTTCATGCACACGTTACACTGATGCAGCTTTGCCTTCCTGGACTGGGGCTTCAGCCGTGGCCTGGGTCTAAGGCTCACCTCGGGCTCCGAGGCTGTGTAAGACCCCCACCCCGAGTGCATCCGGAGATGCGTGGCCAGCTGCTGCTTACAGCGTAAGTTGATCTCACACTCTGAACATTCACAGGGACTGGAAGAACTGGAAAGCTTAAAAACAAGTGTCAGACTATATATATTTTTTAAATCAACTAAAATCTAATTCCAAAAAAAGGTTCTTCAGAGCAGGGTAAGCAATCCACTTAAATTACTTTTTCCACTTGTTATTAACAGAGACTAAAAAAAGGAGAGGGAATGGAGGGCCAGAGCTCTGCTTATGCCTCTGGCTCGACTCAACCCCACAGAACACCTGCAGTGCTGGGACAGGCCCTGGAACCAGTCACCAGGCCCTGGGAGACAGTCAACCCAGCCAACAACTATCAGCACATATGGGAAAACCGAGACCTGAAGGAGCCAAAGAGACTCCAACTCAGCAGCAGGGTGAAGACGGCAGGCAGAGGCCCGGCCCGGGCCAGGCAAGTCAAAGTGACTCCCCTTGGGAAGCAGTCAGTCCCTGACTCTGCACAGTGTCTCTCTGGGGGGACCAATGCCAGCCCCCTCCGCCCCCCGGCCGGGCGAGGGGCTGGCAGCCTTAAAGCAGACCACTGGGCCCTGCAGGTTCTGGGGCCGGCCCGCCCCGCTCGCGCTGGTGGATCTTCTGGTGCTGTAGGAGGTGCTGCTTCTGGACGAAGCTCTTCTCGCACTCGCTGCAGCTGTAGGGTCGCTCGCCCGTGTGGATGCGCTGGTGCCGCACCAGGTCAGATGGGTGGCTGAAGCTCTTGCCACAGTAACCACAGATGAGGGAACTCCGGCTCTTCCTCCAAGGGATGTGGCCGGGCAGCGCCACCAGGCTGTTTGGCGAGAACCTCTCCTGGACACGATGACCAGCACTGGGTCCCTCTTGCAAGTGGCAGCGCTGGTGGGTCACCAGGCTCACTCTGCAACCGAAGCTCTTCATGCACACGTTACACTGATGCAGCTTTGCCTTCCTGGACTGGGGCTTCAGCCGTGGCCTGGGTCTAAGGCTCACCTCGGGCTCCGAGGCTGTGTAAGACCCCCACCCCGAGTGCATCCGGAGATGCGTGGCCAGCTGCTGCTTACAGCGTAAGTTGATCTCACACTCTGAACATTCACAGGGACTGGAAGAGTCCCTCTGCAGCTGCAGGCCCTGCCCCTGTCCCTGAGCCAGTGGCATCTGCCTACTAGGCTTCTGCTCCAGGGGGCTGCCCAGAGTCCTGCTGCTGCTGGCGTCTCTACTGGCCTCCATGGCCTCCTCCAGATTAGTGTCTCTGGGACCCGATTCCAAGAGGGCAGAACTGCCCTGCCCATCCCAGAGTGCAGTCGGCTCTGGGCTCAGCAAAGTCTGCTCTTCAGCAATGGCAGAGAACCCTCCAGGAAGATCCACAGAGCCTCCCTGTGTGAACTGTATTTCCTGCTTGATCATAACCCCTTCTGCTGCCAAGAGAAAGAAGACCAACAAAAAGATCACATTCTAGTACCTTCTTCGGTTTCTTAGGATCTAAACAAACATCTGTGCATTTCAAAACAGCTAAAAATCAAAGCACCCCAGGATCAAGACAGTTAAGACAATTTGCAGGAGGATGAGACTGGCTGGGTTCCAAGACCTGAAAAACTAAAGCTACGCTCAGGTAAAGGCATACTGATCGGTGATGTGGACATACTATTCTTACAGAAGAATGTTATAACTGATAGTTCTCCAAGCTTGTCCACAAATTTGTATTTAATCCCTGTGAAAAATGGCAGAATACAGCATAACATCAAGAGTGTTAAAATAGTAAATGTGAATGACAAAAACCACACAAGGCAGTAATTTAAAAACTCATGTATCCAGCTCTGTTCTTCCTGAATATTCTCCCAAAATTACCTGGCTTATAAATGCTCTCTTGCCTCTCACCCAGGTAGCTTTGCCCCTGAAGACTTGACCAAACCTATTCTCAATCTCCAGCAGGTCTTGACTAAAGCCTATTATGGACTCTACTCTGTAGAGCATGAAGTATAATATGGTCATGAACCTCAAGGACTCTACATAGTGGTAAGAAGTTAAGACACACATATAATAGGTGAACTAATGAAAATCATGAAGAAATCTAGATAAGTAAATGCCAGATGAGGTTAGTGATAATCGTTTGACAGTGCAGCAGTGAGAAAGCTCACTACAGGCTTCAGGGAGTGGGATGGAATATTCTAGAATGACTCACCTGGGTGGATACCACCAGGGCCTTCGTCCTCCAAGTCACCCAGCATCTCTGTACCCAACTCTGCTTCTTCTTCTGGCTGGCCAAGGACCTCTGGGTTGGAGACGGCACAGTGTGAGCGCAGGAGAGAGTAGAGCTTACTATGCACTGGTCACTTGTCAATGAACAAGGTGACCAGTGTCAGGCAGTCAATATTAAAACTTTAAAAGACTCAAGGGTACAGTTCTTGTCGCTTTCCCCTAGCTGTGTGGGACCATTAGGAGACGATGGCCAGTTCGAGTGTTCTATCGGCTGCCTTCAGCGCTCCTCACTAGTCACTGGGGCTCAGGCAGGCAGGCTGCAGGCCTGCTGTGCTCTGCCCGACACCACCGCTTCCTCACTGGCATGTGTCTCCACCTGGTGCCCCCTTTCAGGGAACCTAGTGTCATCCGTGCTAAAGCACTGCAAGGGAAGGTAGGCACCATAATCCCCTGCTGTGCCAGGTGAGGAAACAGCCACTACAGACACTGACCCAACCCACGTCCCCCAGCCACCTCTCCAGCCCCTTTGCTCCTTCCCTCTCCTCCCTCCACTCTACTCCAGTCACACTGGCCATCTTGACACTCCTCCGTGAACAAAATTTATAAGATTTTGCCTACCAAACAAAATGCATTTATTATGTAATAGCTAACATTTTACATATCAAAATGTGTATCTATTAACACTTCCAGTCAATACAAAATAAACACTGAGCCCACAAAGACTGGCTATACTTCCAGCCAAATGCCAAGAAAAATTCTTTAGTCAGCCTGTGCTGCCTGCCTCATCCCAGGTATAAAGGATTTCTTGTCAAACAGTCTTAAGTATTAAAAACAGCATGAGGAACCCCAGCTGTATTATACTATAATGCAAATGATGACATCTTAGCTATCAGTAAAAATTATCTAGAACTGACTACATGACCACAGAGAAGAAATACAAAATGCACAACACCAAGACCTTTCCAAAAGCCTTTCTGTCTTGAGGACCAGCAGACTCCTGTTTCTCAGCCCAGCACAGGCCAGCAGAGGCCCCAGGGCCCACCAGAATCCCACGGGCAGTCTGGGTCTCAGGCTACTTGGCCAGAAATTGTGGATGGCTGAGAGACAATTCTAGGGATAAGAATGGAACTTACTCAGAGAGACCAGAGTCTCATAGTTGCTCTTCATCACATTTCTGTACAGCTCCTTCTGCCAGTCCTCCAGATTCTCCCACTCCTGCTCTGAGAAACAGACTCCATCATTTTCAAGTGACCTGGTCACCTGCAAGTACAAACGTTACACAATGAGTGCCTCCAGTCACAGCCACGAAGGAAAAGCCAGCAATTCAACATATTAAATAATAAAGGGTCAGGCACCCCATCTCGTCTCTTAATCCTCCAGACTACCTTGGGCGCCTCCCCCTTGCTGCCCGGGGGCAGCCGCAGGACCCAGAAGTTCCTGTTCCTCAGCAGGTTCTCCATGTTCTCCAGCCGCCTCTGCAGCAGCCCGTACTCCTGCAGCAGGGTCCCCAGCACGGCCCACTTGCCCTCCAGCTGGTTCCCGAACTCCACGGCCGACTTCTCGCAGTCGGCCAGCTTCTTCTCCGCTGTCCCCGTCCGCCCCTCCAGATTCTGTAGCTGGGCAGCCTGGGACTCCATCTTCTTCTCCACGGCCTGAATAGCAGCCACGACGGTCCAGAGTGAGATCTCCGTAGTCTGCAAATAGGAGCTTTTCCCTGTTGCTTGTGCAGGCAGTGCGGAAGCAGACAAAGGTGTGGAGCGGCGCTTCCTCCTGTGCTGAATGGAGAGTGAGCACAGGGTCAGCCAGCGTCACTCCCAAGCATCAAGAAAAGAAACCAAGGGGTCCAGTAGGTCCAGGAGCACTTAAGAGCTACCCAGTTCCTACTTTTTTTAAAAGCATATTATTTTGTATTCTGATACTACAAATTATAGGTGTAAATTGTAATAAGGAAGTACTAATGTAAAGAGAAAGAAAAAAATTATGTAAAATACCACTATTCAGAAATATGCTGTTAGAATTTTGGTGTACTTCTTATCAGTTTTTCTCATCTTTTAACATTTCTTTTCCAGCAAAGTTGAAGTCACACTGTACATGCTGTTTTGTTACCTGTGTTTCACACTTAGCATATTCTGTAAGACTTTTCCCTTATCAGTATGGTTTTTTTTGGTGGGTATCATTAATCTACAATTACATGAGGAACATTATGTTTACTAGGCTCCCCACCACCACCAAGTCCCCCCGACAAACCCCATTACAGTCACTGACCACCAGCGTAGTAAGATGCTGTCGGATCACTACTTGTCTTCTCTGTGTTGCACAGCCCTCCCCGTGCCCACCCCACATTACACATGTTAATCATAATGCCCCCTTTCTTTTCAGTATGTTTTTTAAACCAATTTCTATTTGACATTTTGGACTATTTGGAATATTTTATACTACAATAAATGATGTAATTTACATCTATTCCTGACTCCACATTCCTGCCAGACTTCACAGGTGATCATGCGAGCCCTGCTGAAAACCTTTTGGCTGCCCCCAATAATAAAGATAAAATTCTTCAGCAGGATCTACAAGACTCAGCTCATTCGTCCTTGCACCCAAGCAGCTAGCATGGTAACCCCTACTAAATCCTTAATAAATGTTTACTGAAATTATTTGACTAACTCTACTGACATGTTCCTTATGCTTCTCATTTGTATGATCTGTCTCTGAAGGAAAATCACTGTGATTGACACTCAAAATTACCGACCATTGTCCTACTGCATGTTTGTGTTAGTCAGTCCTAAGCCCCCAAAGATCCATATTCTTTTCTATGGTGCACATTTTATTCAAGGTTGCTTCTCCAATCACGAGGATGACACCAAGACACCAAGAGGAAGTACCTTGGAAAGAACTGCTGGGGCTGGGGTGCAGGTCTGGAGACACAGGACAAAATGAAATCAACTGGCACAGCACCGAACACTTAAACTTGGCCATGGCCTACCAGTTATTCAACTCAGTTCATTATCCAAGATATCGGTCAAAAGCTTAAACATCACCCCCCACCCCAAAAAAAAGTTAAAGGGAAGTTTAATGTAAAAGATAGATACAAATAAACAAAACAAAATATTAGACTATTGGATAAACTCATCTCTTCACATGTTCTGCTTTTAACCTTAAGTCTCTGAGTTCTGAGTCTCCAGCTTTTGGAAGTCTCTCTCCTCTCCAAGGCCCAGCAATTTGTTGTCTGCTACCACTTTTTACAAACAGGAAAGTGGGGTCTAAGCAGCAGAATAACTCCCCTCCCCTTCCACACAGTAAAAGGTAGAAAAGAGTAGTTAAACCAAGTTTCTTCTTTTCTTCTATTTTGAATTAGCTATTTTCATGGAAACAATTCAAACGTTCATCAGCTGGTGAATGGATAAATGAACTATAGTGCATTTATATGTCAGGGGTTGAATTAAATCTCCACAAAAAGATATGTTGAAGTCCTAACCCCAGGCCTTCAGAAAGTGATCTTATTTGGGGACAGGCCTTTATAGAGGTAATCAAGTTAAAATGAGGTCAGTAAGGCAGGTTCTAATCCTATATGACTTGCTTATCTTATTAAAATAGGGGAAATTTGACCACATAGACAGATGCCCAGAGAGAAGAGGATGTGAAGACAAACACGGGGAGAAGACAACCGTGTGACGATGGAGGCAGAGGTTGGAGTTCTGTTGCCAGGAGCTAAGAAAATGCCTGGGGCCTCCAGAAGCTCTGAGAGAGGCACAGCACAGATTCTCCCTTACAGCCCTCAGAGAGAACCAATTCTGTGGACACCTTGATTTCAGACTTCCAGCCCCCAGAATCATGAGCCAATAAACTTCTCTTGTTTAAACCTCCCAGTTAGTGGTACTTTGTTACAGCAGGAACTAATATACCACCGAACTAACACACAGCAGAACACTACTCAACAGTAAGAAGGAACAAACTAACTGTCGATATATGTAATGCTATGGACATAAAGCCATGAATGAATCCCAAAAGCATTATGCTAAGTGAAAGAAGCCAAATACAAAATGCTACATTCTAGGACACTCCAGGAAAGTCAAAGCTATAGGAAGAAAAAACAGATCACTAGTTGCCAGGGACTGGAGTAAGGGAAGGAGACTGATTACAAAAGGGCACTGTCTGGAGTGATGGAAAAGCTCTATCTCCTGGTAATATGATGGTTATACATTTGTCAAAATGCACTGAATTGTATGCCTAAAGAGTGAATTTTACTGTATGTAATTGCATCTTAATAAACAGGCCTTAGAATGTCATGGTAGGAGAAAATGATAACTGTTATAAAAGATACCATAAACAGTCTAAAAATGAACAAGGAGAGAATATTTGTAAACAGGATACGGAGTAGAAAGAAACAATAAATAACACCGAAACTAAACTGCAAACTATCATTTGTGAAAGTGGAAATGTAGGTGGTCAATAAGCAAAAGAAAAAGACAACCACATTAACAGAAAGGAATGTAAATATACCCAGTGGAACCACTTTTTACCCACCATGCTGGCAAACAGAAAATAGAGCAATTGGGAACATTCAGAGCTGATTATGATGTGGTAAAACTGGCACTTCTGAACACTCCTGGAAAGAATGAAAAATACTACAAACTTTTAGGGAAGAAAATATCATAAAAGTCATTAAAAGCCCTCTAACCTAGTGATCCCACTTATAGGAACCTATCTTACAAAAAAAATGGCATCCTCCACAGGGATCCGGACGATGCTGCGGTTGTGGCTGCATCCAGCCCACCGTCTCCTGGACTTGCCATAGGAATGAGGAGGGAGATGTCTAGGCTGGCATGTGCATACAGTGAGACAACGAATTTGACCGGATCTGTACTGTTGGAACTCAACCAGGAGTTGGGAGGGGTGCAAGTTGTAGCACTCCAAAATC